CGGGCACGGGCACGGGCGTGGGGCGGGCGGCGAGAGCCGCGCGTGTGACGAAAGCCGCCGCGGCTGTGACGCCAGCGCCGCGCGTGGGACGGCCGTTCGGGAATCCATTCTGACCGTTCCTCAGCCCTGCCGGGGAGAATAACAGCGGTGAGGCCAAGCCGCGGTCACACGCCGCGACGTCAGGGCGGACGCTTCCGAGGGATGTCACGCTACGAGCCGCCGGTCACCCACCCACGGGGGAAGGGCAGAGGGGTGAGCCGCGCCTCGGGGTGCCCGCACACACCTCACCCGCTTCTCCTGCTCAAGGGGTAGAGCTTTGCACGGAAGAGATTTGTAAATCGCGTCCCTTTAGCAGAGTGACGTGCCCGTTAGAGATTCGTTATTAAACTGCTGATTTAATCATTACGATGAAAAAAAACACTTTTCGTGCTACTGGGCCATTCGGGCATTTCCCTGTAAGCACTGAACAAATACCTGTGTTTTAAGGTGGTTACATATTCACCTTAGAACTTCTGCCAGTTCTGTTCCTATCTGCGGTTTTGCTTAACGCTCTTTTACTCCTAAAAAACTCCTCACAGCTCTGTTACAAGCATGTTATATATCGTATCAGGTTTCTATCAGGGATTCTCACCCCGGGTTCCTGCCGCGAAGCCGGCAGAGGGAGTCACGCCTGGAGCGTGAGCCGTGTCTGCTCTGCTTTTTGATTTCTAGGACACGGCATTTTAAAACGTGCCCGAGAGCTGGGCCCTTTGGCATCAGATTATAAGTATCTTCATGGAAAGGTAGGTATGTGTGTGTGCAATTTTGGAAGACAGAAAAATGCTTTTCATAATTTGCGGTTGTTGCTCCCTGCAAGCATGAGATGTTTAGCACATCTGCCTGTTCTCCTGCAGAGAGCTGTGAGAAACTACCACAGGATTTTTGTGATGATAATGCAACAGAGAGGGGCAAATTTCAGCCTTTGCACAACTGCTGTGTTCAAGGTAACATTGAGCTGAAAGACCTCAAGCACGACAGAGTCCCCCCTGCTAGCATCACACAGCAACTCCCTGCCTCAAAGAAGTCACGATACAAACAGACCACAGAAGCTATTATAATCTCTATTTACAGGTAGCCTGTCTGTCATCCCATATTTGTAATAAATGACTCGTGCAGTTGGCTCTAGCAAGGTGTGTGCTCACACCTGCTGTGACTACCGCTCTGTTTCATACTTCCACTGGCCTAGGCTGGATTTCTTCACGTGAAGACATCAAAGACGGCACGTGGCCAGATTTGGAAAGCCACACAGCAAAGCAAGCGTGCAGGCAGGTATCATACTCCCTCGAACAGTAGCTGCCACCCTAGTCTGAACTAGGAGCCTCATGCAGAGGTCTTCTACAGAAGCAAGATATTACTCAGCGTCTTCACTCTTGCCAAGTTTCTTCTGTAACTCTTCTGATTTGGGATAGAAAAACACAGTCTGGGGTAGCACCCTCAAAGGGTTGCTGAGCCAGGCCTAAGCCAAGATACACTCATCTTGCCACAACCAGCCTGGCACTAATTTTTAAAGCAGAATAAATGCCTGCGAACTATGCCCATATGTAACTGGTTTATCTGGTCCTTCCTCATAGCTTCCTGCAAAGTGTGACACACTGCAGTGCATTGCTCCAAGAACTGCTTTTGCCACGCTCTGCATGACTCCTGAGGTTCCTCCCCTGCTTTATGTGTTCTGCAGCCATTTATGCACCAGAATAATAGTTAATAAAAAACCAACAGGGTTGGTGGTGGTTACCATACACTTTGCACTGTCTGCAAAGATAACGCTTGTGTCTGGGGATCTGTATCCCCTAATTCAATGCAGTCGGACAGCTGCCTGGGTTTCTGCAGCATGCCTTACTAGGAAAACATCACGGCATCACACTAGCTAGGAAGGACATTAAAAAGTTGCTGCATGCACAAAACAACTGCAGTTGTTGCAACTAGGTCAGGTGAGAACATCAAGCTGCCTACAAACACATGATTACAGACAGGCCTTTGAACTCTGACTTCTGTGGCTTCTTAGAGGTATAGGTGGAGTCCTTGGCCATAAAGTACGTGCTTTGTTGCTTCGCAGCCCATGTCCAGGGATTTGTGCTTGGCTAAACACAGAAACTGTGTGTATGTATGCGGGAGTAGAGTTATGGCACCGCACAGCTGTAAGGGAAAAAGATCGGGATTGTCTGGACTTCCTCTCGGCAAGATATTTGTTTTGCAACACGAATACCCATAATTTGAATGCTAACATGCTGACGTCTGAGTTGTCCCCTGGTGCTCAACTCTGCAGAGTCATGGGGGTAGGAAGGAAAGATTCGGAACTTTGCTGAGCAAGCCAAAAAAACCCCCCAAAACCTCTTTAGTTTGCAGTGGAGACTTTTGATGGTGCCAACAGCAAGGAATGCCATTTCATCTTAAATCAAGGCTGCTGTAGGAGCGCCAACAGGATCTGGAAATTAGGGCTATGCTTTTCATGGGTTTTGTATTACTCTGTTTTGAACAGAGCTACAGAGCTGAGAGGAGCTTGGCATGAAGCCACTGTCCAAAACAATGTAGGGAAGCATATGTGGTTTGAGAATTACTCAATACCATTTCAGCTTTCAGTTTTTCCTGTCTTTCAATCCAAAAGGTATGAGGGTTCCACGACTCAGTTTCCTCTACAGTAAGCGACTCCACATAGTAATGCTCACTAAAATCCTTTACCATTGCAGTTCACACATGCAGTACTGTGGCTTCCCTCTAGAAACTGCTTGGAATCAATAATAATTTAAATTAAAAAAAGATTAGAACTCCTCAGTGGAATACATTACAGATAGTTTAATATTAATATTCCTATTAGCCATTGTATCATTGCTAAAATTTAGCAGCCAGGAGCAGCAGCATTCAGAGGAGCCACCTTGCTGTTACTGCACATCCAGAAACCACACAATGCCCAGCAGCAGAAGTTAGAGCTGGTCACACGTTAACAAATTTAGTGCAGAGCACAGGATCTGTACACAAAGGATCCATCATTTAAATCCAAGCTTTGCCCTAACATGGGGTCTGAATGGTGTATATATACACAATGCTGGCCACCCATCTAAAATTAATTCACCTGCAGCTCTTCACACTAGACAATTTGTGCCACGAGATAATCCTCCAGATGAGGGCATGATGAAGCCTTGTGAAGTGTGTTGCTGGTATACTTAAATGCTTCTGCTTTCAGTGGATTCCTAGCTCACACTTCTGTACTGATATTACTGCATCAAACTCTATGGCTGATCTACAGAAAATATAAGTTGATTTTTTTCCTCAAGTACTAACCCTATCTAAGCCTACAATTTTCCTGGCTCTTCAGAACAAAGCGAATGCATTCCTCCATTCTTCACTATTTCAGTAAAGGACTACAAAAACATGAAAAAAATAGTACATTGTTTACTGGGAATTAGTTCTGGTAGGTTAGAGAAGGACTGAGGAAGAAATAATGGATGGACACCATGTTATGTTAGTGCAGACAATATGAACTTCAGCATAGTGTGGAAGAGTAATAATAAAATTTTTTTTTGAAGCTTCACATCATTCTAAATACATCTGAAAATAATGAAACTGCCTGCATGTAATCTGTTGAAATATGGCAGATTAATTTTACTTACTAGCAAGCAATGAATATGTAAGAAGTGCTAAGTTAGGACATTTAAACTTCTACAGAATTTCAGAAAACAAGTGCAAATAATTTCCTAGAATTAACTACAAAGCTAGGATTGTCTTATACGTTGAAATTTCTCTGCTTTTGGCATTGCTGGGTAGCATATCTATTTGAAAATGCTTGAAAGCAGTAACATAAATGTTGCTTTTTATTTAGAACAACAGAAGTACTGGAGGCATTAGGCAGGCCATCTATCTTAAGAACTCTGGAACAGAAAAAAATGAAAAGAAGATCAAACGCTCTTGCTTAACTGTACCTTTTTCCTCTCTACTGAAACCCCAATTCCCCAACACTTGTAATTCAGGGATTGCTGGTATACTTCCATCTCTTCCCCCAGCCTGGGTCCTGGAAATCCGATTGAAGGGGTGGAGTATCATGCTGCCGGAGAGAGCTTGGCTCTGCTTTATTCTGGGCTGAGCGTGAGATATCTGATATTGGCTCTTCCTGCAGAAGTTTGTCATCAGAATTCTTTGCAGAGAAAAAATCTTTGTTCTTCTTCAAGAGCAAACTTCTTCCCTGAAATGTAGACAAACATTACTGTAAGCCAAGGGTGGCCAATCTGTTGAGCCAGTCAAGCGCAGTTCCCATGCCAAGGCAACATCATGTGAGCAGCGAGAGGGCCATGCTGGCGTGGGAGCACAGGGTAGTCCAAATCCCCAGCTGCCGAGGAAATGAGCCAGCAGGGACTGCGAAGCTGACATCACCGAGCTGCCGTGGGTCCCATCTGCATGCCCAGCCCGGCCTCATCTCAAAGCAGGGTCCTGGGGAACCATTGTTACCTCCTACCTGGTAGCTGCTCCCAACCCTCCCCGCCATGTCCATTAAAGGGAGATTGGTGAATATATACTGTCACCTTCATTCTTTGAAGTTTTTCCTACAGGGGGGAGAGAGTCCGGAAGGTCAATATCCTTGCATTAGACTATTCTGTACAATGCCAAGATAAGAGAGTTAAACAAGTTGTTCCATGAGCAGCAGAACTCAAGAACCCAGTTTTTCTGCAGATTTGGATAGGGTTTTGCCTTCATTCTCGCCTCCTTCAGCTATAGGACCCCAGCCTGGCGGGATGCATAGGACGATTCGCCAAGCCTGGGTTCTTTCCCTAGGTGGGGCAATTACTGGAATCTTCTGCTCAGAACAAGGGCTTTTCCTGGAACTTGCAACCGTCTGCCCTATTCAAACTTGGCTGAGATGGCCAGTGAGCTTAAAAATGATTGCAGAATACTGACAGAAAGAGCATGTGCATAAACTTCAGTTCTTCAGGAAATCAAGCTAGCACTGTCCTTCACTTCCCCCATCAGCCCCAAGGGAGCTGGTGCAGTAACCTGTAGAATAAAAAACTTGGAGGTTTTGCTCTGCCCTGGCAGGGTCCTTGCTCTGTTGGAGAAATGGAAACAATTTAAAATGCAACGAAGTCATTCCCTGCCACAAAACTCAGCTGGATGCCTTTCCAGCCTGCAAACAAAGATGCCTTTCCCCAAACAGGAACACAGGACTCAAGGAAACAAATTGGATTATCAATCCATTGCAAAAAGGCAAGTACCTGTGAAAAACTGGAGAATTCAAAAGAGCATCTGCTCTGCCCTATTTCCTCAGACACATGACAAGGTTTAAGTTACTGACAGGATAATTTACCAACATGAAATCTTAAATGTTAAGCGAAATATTCTACCTTCTGCTGTTCAGCTAGTGGTTCTTCAGCAAACTCTTTCACAGTAGGTTCTAGCTTATCTGGCTTTTGATGCTTGTCCAAAGCAGCCAGCACAGCATCATGAAGCGTTAGAAAGAACCTTTCTTTGGTGACACAGCTGTCAAAGAAATCATTCTTCTCAAAGTCTGCTATCACAGAGGCTATAAAAAATGGGGGAAAATAAATAAAGCAGCAGAATTGCACCAAGCAGTACGGCTAAAACATTTCACTTAAGTTTAAAACTTATCCTTTGAGATAAGTCAGTATTAGTAAACAAATACTATACTCACAGTGACAGCCAGCTATAAGGACTGTAATGCCAATAGCGTGAAACATACGGATGATCTGTGGAAAGAATTCCATACAGGCATTAGAGCAATTCTGCGTTGTACAAGTGCACTAGAAGGTAAAACATAAACAAGGAAATAAAACCTCCCTTGTAGTGTTTTATCTCTGAAGAAAACCCTTATTCTGGTATCTCAAATCCTGTTTTTGAGTTGAGCACTAAACAGGCAAGTTGTCCAAGATCTTAGTGAATGCTTACTCCAGAACCAGGGCAGGTCACAGCCAGACTCCATGCTGGCCCTCCTACAGTTCACTATGCAGCACCCAGTGTTATTTCTTCACTTAAACAAAAAGTTCTCACAGGAACAGAGTAACTTGAAACATCTGTCCATATGCAGATGCCATGCCCACATGTAAACGAGAATAGGAACCCCTATTTTCAAGTGTGACCTGTAATTCTGGTTGCCTCAATTTTCATGTCCAACATTTTTAGATCTATCAAATTAGTGTTAAAGGAATCAGATTTTAGAGGTGATAGATTGTCACCATTTTCTCAATGCCTGACCCTTTGTAATTAAAAGATCTCAAAGTAGTTTGTTTTGTTTTTTTTAAAGGCAATGAAACTCATTATTTCAGAGAATCACAGAATTTCAGAATATGGGGATGGAAGGAATCTGGAAAAACTTTGACTTTATCCCCCCTTCCCAATGGGAGGGTCATTCAATAGGTGGCAAATAAATCTTGAAGGATTTTAGGGACAACAGCTCAGTCCACAATTATTCCCAGTAGGTGTTAGTCTGACCTGTTATTAAACAAAAATCCTTTGAAGTTGAGCTATAGAGTTTGAGAGAGCTGACTAAGAATCCATCTGGAACTGTATCTTTCTGAGAAGCACAGCTACATGAAATTTATTTTCGCTAAATATATATCTCCATTGGCTAGGATCCCCTCTTGAAGATTTAAAAGTTCAAGGCATACTTCAAAGAAAAGGCTAATTAGGCAGTCAACAATAACAACAAATTCACTCTAGGGGAAGACAGCTGGTATTTTTATATCTGACACTTCTAAAGAGCATTTTTTTTAAATGTCCAGCTAGAAGAAAAAATAAAACAGCCAAAATGGAAAAAACAAATTAGATATTTTTATAAATGTGTTTTTAGTTTATGTGATTCTACAACTGGTGACAATGCATGACAGGTTTTTGCATGTCTTTTGTGTGGATAGAGGGGCTTTGTGTTTTTTTTTTAAAAAGTGGTTTTATGGGAATTTATTAATTTCTGAAACTTGATAGCTAAATCTTGCACCCTTAAAGGTCAATTGGAAGATAAGCAGATTGTTATGTAGTAGGGCATTTTAGGCTAACAAGAAACATAAGCCACTAGGTAAACTTCAGGTTTCACATTTATGTGCAGTTAGGTTGCTTACCTGTCGCAGTAACTCTGAACCTATCAAATCCACAAATTGCACCATGCTGAAGTCTAAAATAATGGTGTGAACTGGACATGGCAAATGTATCGGTTGGTCTTCCTGATCTAACTGTACTGAGGAATTATCTATTGCAGAGCCTGGTGGAAGGCAAGCTTTTCTCTCTTCATCTTTGTTCTTTTCAGTTGTAAGCCCCGTGTTAAAGCCTGGGGATGCACACTGCGTATCGGCTGCTTCCACCAAGAGCGTCCTAGACCTGAGTTCGTCTCCATACTTTGACCAATGTACCAAATTAACTGAAGATGACGAGGAATTGCTGTCTGCGTGACGTTGCTTCACCAGTTTCTCTGTATATGGTATCTAAGATGGAAAATGGAGAGTATACCAGTGGTTGGAAGAATTGGGCCTAGGAGGTGGAAAATTTTTTGCTGCAAGTAAGACAGTACTGTAAATCATATGACATTGCTTCTCTCATGGTAAAAAACACATCTGAAATAACAGTAAATGTAGGAAAAAGCCACAGGAGTATGCAAAGTAGCAGGTGACTTGGGCAAGCCTCAGATGTGGTTAGCAGAGTGCCTTCAGCCACCAAATAGTACCTCACTCTTCCACACCTTGCAATGGCCCATGATACTGGAATCTGACTTGTTACTTCTACCTTTCAGAAAAGACAAGAAGGAAAAAAAAAACTGCCCATGGCCATTGCCTTTCTGAGCAACAGTAAGCTGACCCTTAGTGGCTCAGTTCTGCAGACCTTTGATTCATCTAGTTTCTTGTACGGCAGCTGGTCACAGAATGGACCGATTTAATCAATTTTTCTTTCTTAATAGTTCCAAATGTGTTTTTTAATTTTTATAATGCAAGAAAGGAAAAGTCACTCTCTGCATTTTTATACTTTAGAAGATAATGTTAAATTACCTATCACTTCAACTCCCTAAGCACCTCGGTGCCCCATATGTTTTCCAAACCACTATCTTTCAACGCATTTCTCATAGAAGGGCTTTTTCAAATCACATAAAACTGCTTGAAAAATGTCTTCTGAAGCCAGTCCAATCCCTGAAGTTCCTTCATGTATTGTCTAAGACAATTCAGAAAATTCAGATAAAGAGGGACAAGAGTGACTACAGACGATGCACAGTGGCCAGTTATAGTAAAGATGAGAAATCCTTTAATCATGATAATCGTAGCTGCCTTTGAGGTATTTTGTACTTGCACTTGGCAGTACTGGAAGGAACAAATCCCTCATAAGCAATGGAATTCTCTCACTTCTGTGGGGAAAAAGGAGAAAATCCCTACTGAAGCACCTGACAGAATTAATTCTTTCAGCTGAGGAGAGGATACGTTGAATATTTCAATTGCTAGTTAATTCACCCAGTAAGCTGAGCTACTATTGCACTATCACATAAACTATGTGCAAAGAAATACAGTGGTAATGTTTGTTTATTTTCAAACAGCAAATATGTATATGCTTTATGTAAACATTTACAGCCTTTTCAGTGTGGGCAAGTTAAAAACATTGTCATCGTTAACATAAAACCAGGCACCTCAAACAAACAGACTAGATAAATATACTTTTAAAGCTGACCCTAGGTGGTGGTAGAGGTGGATCACAGACACAAGAGCATTTAAGATCTTTCCTTTCCACTGCAGTGTCAGACAGACTAAGTGAAATTAAAGCCCTCATTTCACTTTCATCTAGAGGCACTGCTTTCACGTCCATCTGAAAAAGAAAGGCAGTTTTATTAGGGTTTTTATCTCCCTAATGCAGCCTCTCAGACACTTCAGCTGACTGAAAAAGTGGCATTTACCTTGCGTAACAAATAGGTTTTGAAGTGATTCATGTTTGCAAAAGAGATGGAAGAACAGCACTGGAAGATTTTGATACCTTCAATCTCCCTTGCCTGTAAAACAGAAGTTGTATCTGTGAGGGTTGTACCTAGAAGCAGCTATTTTTCCCCTCCTGACTGTCTATGTTGTAGTCTGCAAGGTCCTACCCTAATGACAGTTTGTCTGGTCACATTGTTGACTACACTGCATTCTGGCAATGACACTGGCAGCATGGACTTAATTACCATAAACTAATCTGCTTCTCTGGCAATTAAAAACATACCTCCAGCACATCTATCACAGATGACAGTTGCCTGCTCTAATATAAAATAAGCCAAATTACTTTTAATGCTCATTACAGAAAACATACACTATACTCTTGTTTTAGTAACCTTGTCCTTGTATTATTCCATTTTTTGCAAATCCATCAGCATCGCATTGGGAATGTACCCGTGTGGCAAAGGCAAAGCTCTCTACTACTGTGTTGCCTAACTCTATGGTGCAGGACTTGAAAATAACGTGTTAAAAAGGCCCATGCCCTACCTATTTTCCCATCACTGGGAGAACCTGTGAGTCAGTCTAGCACATGTACAGTCGTTATTGTGAAAACATACGTAGAGTGAACAAAACCAGACTGAGAAAAGCAGGTCAGCGAAAAATGCCAAACAGCTCTGGAAATGACAGCAGTGCAGCTTCCAGCGTGGAGACAGCCCAGATGGACATAAGGAGCTCCACAGGCCCAAGCAGGCTGAGCTAGGTATCTGAATCACTTCACACTACAGATACTTAAGCATTCTTCAGTTTTCAAAGTTTTGAGTCAAATGAACTGAGTCTGAATGGTCCCCCCCAGGCATTTAAGGGAAGAAGCTAGATTAGAGAGAGATGGAACATTTGGTTTTTGTTTCCTCTTACGGCTCTGTAGACGGATAAACTTCTATAAATATTCATGTTTGGAATCTGTCCCAGCACCACCATCTTCATTCTGAAACGAGATGTTTATTAGGTTTTCACAGAGAACAGAGAAAAACCATTTGTTCCCAGAAGCTCGATCTCCATTTCTCTCCACTGGATACACCAACTTGACTTAGAGGGTGCGAGTGCAAGAAGTTATTCACTCATAATTAGGGTTCTTTGAGTAGGGGAGCAGTACACAAGCAGAGTCTTCAGCTACACTGGTGTCCTCAAGAATGTATAATGTCCCATTTCTAGCTCTGGAACACTTGGATTATTGTTATTACAGTAGAAAGCATGTATCCTCTCCATCTGCCCACAGCCCTCCTCCAAGATACATCTACACAGGCAGGTGGAGGCAGCTATAACTTGTGCTTAGAGCTGGATGCACATAGGCTAGGTCTGATCCAGAGGTCATGTAGCAACATTAATGCAGGGTTTTGACTTGAAGGAGAATATCCTGGTTTGGGTACCATGCTTTGCTAATGGTGCTGCATGGTTTTGGGGCAGGTTCTGGTCAGTTCAGGGCATGGGTGAAATAAACATGTGGCTGGCTGCCTGATTGCTGGAGAACTGGAAGGCAGTGGGCCCTGATGTATGGAAAATTGTTGTCAAGACAATCTATTCAAAGCAATCTGTTTGCAGATAACTTCCCATGCTTCTTCGAGTGTTGTTGGCATAATGCTCCCACTGGTAGGAAATTCATAAGCGGTTATATATCCTGAAGATAGTATGGACAACAGGGATACTTAACTGTACAGTGGCCGCAGAAATGCCCTTTCACAATGCTCATTAAATCCCAAGGCAAACCCAAGAGCATAACTCTGAGTAGAGGTAATACAGTGAGCTTCAGACAGCAACCGAAATTCTTCCTGAAGGTATTCTTTCAGAGCTACTCTGGGTCAGATCACAAGCACTTCGATATTTGCAGCAACTGAATTATTTCCTACCTCTTTCCATGTTATTCTAGAGGCTTCAGTCTACTCAGACAAGCACCTCCTTATCATGGTAAATCTCAAGAGGTGCGGCTTGGATTTATGAATGATTTTCCTGTTTGGATTAGCAGCTAATAAACTGAGTAATGTGTGCCTGATGTAACCTCCCTCCCCTATCACGAACTGAGTTTACGGAGAAGATAAGGCAATTTGGTAAATGGCACTGAAGACTGAGGAATGTATTTGAAATAAAGGCACAACATCTCATTTTATTCCTACAGCAGTGTGTACACAGATCACCTCTCCTGGCGGATGCCTACACCACAATAAGCAGTCTTCAATAGCACAGTACATCTGCAGAAGGGACCAATCCAGAGCCCATAAACTTGAAACTGGTTTGGGATAGCATTAGAGAGACTCCAGAATGACCTGGCTGAAGTCTTTATAAACATGAAACAGCTTTTTAATTGTCACATGTATAACTATCTCCAAAACATCAACTCTAAGAAAAACCAGTATTTTGTTTTAAAAGTTACAAGTACCTGTGTGACCTGATGGTGATTATAAGGAACGTAAATCCCATGGCGATCGCTAAACCGACATCAAGATCAAAACAAAGCACTGCAGCAAAAGTTACAAGCCAAATAACCTTTGAACAAGAGACAGAGAGAACATGAGCAGTAAAATGACCTCCAACTCAGCCCCAGGATTTGCAAATTGCAGACAATATAAAAAGCTAGAAATGGTAATATGTGAAATGCTTTGCTGGCACATCTAGACCAACCCAGTCCTAGACGTAGTCGCAAACAAGGATCACAAATCACAGTTCAGATCTCCAGACTTTTTAACAGGGCTTCAGTTATTAGGAAAACACACATCATATTGGGGGTCTTTCTCTTTATGAGAAATCCTGCACAAGAGTTGACATGAGAATGTGGCCCTGGCTGGCAGCTAGACAATTTCCTTCTTAGGGGATGTGGGAAGCAACAACAATAATCAGTTTTCCATGTACAGAATTAATTGCAAATTGATTTGAAGAGATTTCAATAAATTTCTTTCAGTGGATATTTCAAAGGATCCCTTTTCTAAAGGAATGGCCACTGCCATGCCTTGCCCTCCCAAAACATCCATTTCTTCCTTTAAGACACATTCCAAATCCTAGGTGGCTTTTTTTGTCACTTACAAAATGGTACTTATCCTGTCTCCACAGGATGGGAATATCCAGAAATTTTTCAAGAAAAGGGAGCATGTTAAATACCACAATAGCAGCCAGTATACCCTGTTGAAATCAGAAAAATAGCATCTATTATTTTGTTGGTTTTTGTTTGCAACCACAAACATGCTAAGGAACAGATATCCACAACAGAAAAACCACTTGAAATGAAAATCTTATAATAGCTTTATTTCCATAATTTTTATAGATAACAGTTCTCCTCTGATCTGCAAACCAAGATGAAACTAGCATATAACTTCTTGTTTGATTTCACAATCACTTCTGCCAATACAACTGGACCTCCTCTTGAAATGCTATGAGTAGTTTCCATTACAGTGCTCTTCAGTGAATCCCTATGCCTCCTGCAGCACTAGGAGAAAGGCCAACACTATCTACAAAATTAAGAGTTGCTGTTTTCAAAGAATGGTTTCAATTAGCATGGGTAGTTCATTGCCAGATTTAGGAAGTTGTCTGACACCATTTGTTGAAAACAGCCTCTTAGCAGAAAAAAGGAGACTGAAGGGAAGTAGATGGTTAAATTTTTTTTTGTCAGCTAGTTTTGGGAAAGGGATTAATTCTCCCATCTTACAAATAGGCCAGGAAAAAAATCAGGAAGTAATGCTCTGTCAGTGGTTCCCTAAGAAAACTTAGAGAAAAAAAAGAAAGTCTACATAAAAATTTAAGGGAAAAGTAGAAAACTGAGTACTCTGAATAATCTACGATAACAAAATGTTTATGTTTATTGCACTGGCAATGCAAAATCCACAGAAGGCAGTTCAGGAGTCCATATGGTTTTAAAGTAAACCTCAAAGACCAAGCCAGAATCAGAGACACTGAATCCAAATTTTCATTTGGAAGCTTTTATTTACCTCTTTACACTAAGGATTTTGAAGCACCCATCTTGGAACTACTTATACTGATGCAAGAGAGAAACTCATGAATTTGTTATACACGTGTGCAAAAGACTGGAAGATGTGAAACCAAAAGTGAAATACAACGTTTAAATTATAGGGGCTGGCAGTGAAATTTTAATCCAGTTTTAGCCAATTAATTTTAGCTTGTACTGATCAGTGAGAGATGGTGGAGATGCAATATTAATTACTTAATACATTAGCCTGCTGAAATTTAGGAGAGTTTAAAGCCGTTGTTTTGGTTTGGTCCATCCCTGAAAACAATTGACTCTAGAGCATGATCTAATCCCTAACTGTCCCAGAAAAATCTTTATATTATGCTTAGAAAATCTTAATTTTATGCTTAGGAAGTAAGTAAGCTTCTGCCATAACTATTTCAGGTTCACTTACATTAGGCATCATCTGGAAAAAGTGTCCTAGTTTCAGTGCAATCACCAGCATCATAGATGCTCCAATCGCTGCTGCTAACTGAACAGAAATACTTTATTAGAGGCCTGACAGAACCATTTACTTACTTGTCCTCTCTAAACAAGTAGATATGTCCCATGTAACGCCACCGACTGGGAAAAATAACCAAGGAACAATCGGCAAAGGCCACAGGTATGCTGCAATGCATGGTACAAATTCTAGACTACTCAAGCTGAAAGAGTTTTCTGTACATATAAATTTGGCCTAAATGGACTATTCTTAGGCACAATAGAACAATGCAACAAAGGATTTTGGTTTGATAATTTCACCTGAGTAATAGGAGACTTCTCTTGCAAGTCAGACTTTGGAATAAAATCTTTATTAAACAAAATTATTTCTATCCTGCAGTGAAGTGTGTACAGACATTCAGTTAAGAGGTATGATAAAACCATTATCACATACTATTATTATTACATATTACACCCTCTTTCCCCCCTGAAAAAAAAAAGCACAAAGTCAAGTACTCAAGAGTTAGGAAGAAGTGGCAGAATTAAGGGTGCATGAACAATTTTCCATTTGGCTTTTTGGGTATATTCACTAAAATACAGTTTTAAACTGCATGAACATATCCTATTCTCCCCACAGGATCCTGGCTTCCTTCATGGCACGTCATGTGCTGTAAATATCATGTATGTATAGTACATAATATAACATACACAGAGAGGGTATCTGAACTCATGTTGCATGGGTATGTAACTTTACATCTCACAAATTGTTTAGATTAAATATCAGCTTATACTCCGCATACAGTGATTTTCGATGAGAGTTTGGAAGCTTAAAAAATCCAGCCCAGCTCACCTGTGTTCTTCCACCTGTCTTCTCTTGAATGACAGTTCCAGAAATAGCACAGCTGACAACAAAGCTTTTGAAAAATGAGCTGCAAATATTGCATAGCCCCACAGCTATTAGCTCCTGTAAAACAGAACAAAAGGAAGCAGAGAAAACCCCAAATGAATGACTTACCTTCACAGAAGTAGCTTACCAGGAATTCCTTTCCCTTTGCTCACACTTGCTAGTTGCTCATCTGTGTTGCTAAGCTCAGGAAACCTTCTGGAAAGCCAGGTCTTATATGGTTAAAATGAGCTCTCTTAAAAGGCATACCGTTTTCACAGCTGAGGATCTCATAGACCCAAAAAATCAATTCCTTCTTTCAGAGAAATCCACTTAGAACCCCAAAGCTATGAAGCACTGGCTTTCAAGCTAACATGTGGCCAATCTCAGTATGCAGCATAGTACACCTGGACAAAAGCTGAGTGGAAAAGACATTCCCTTTATATTTATCCCCAGAGGCTTCAGGAACTCAGGGCAGCTTCCTTAGTGGCTTAGTTCCATTCTAGTAAAGATCCAAAGCCATCACAACAAGCTAAACGTGGAGTAGTGCAAAACACCTAATGCTTACTAACTCTAGCACACTGGAAACTAACATGGTTTTAGCTTAAAAGTATCTCAAAGCAATCACTGGTCAGAGAATCCATACACTGGGACAGTAGCCACATATCGAGAAGAATTACAGCTGCTCTGGCCATTTACAATTTCAGCTATCAATTTATCATGCTTTTGTAGTCTCATGGATTCATGACAGCAAGGGTCCTCAGCTATCAGTTGCAGCACTATGTGTGTGTGTGAGGTTTATCATCATAATCGCTGGGAATATACAAAGGTGTCTTGGTCAAAGAAGGCCATGTTTTGGCCTTCACATTATTGGCTTATAACATTCACTTTCCATCGGGAAGGGTAACAAGTTGCTACAAAACCATCATCTGGCATATTCACTCTGTCCTTGAATTTCTACCACTGTCAGGTAGTTAGTGGCTTTGCAAGTTGAGTTCAGCTTGCTTCTTGGCCTAGGAAGTATCTGTAGTTTTGTTCTCACCTGATTGCTGGCAATATTGTAGTTGTGAAGTGAAGCATACCTCTCCCCAACAAAATCAAGAAGGAAATAGCTTACAATAGCAAGGGAGAAGGCATGCAGTATGATCTTGCTCAGGTTTGATAAATCTGGCGGTGTAGGAGGCAGAAACCTACAGGATCAGAGAACAGATAAATTTAGAGCTGTTCTGAGCTCTGTCCATAGTAACTCCAAATGCAGGATCAGAGGCATCCAGCACCCCACAGGAGATGCTCTTAATCTGTAAGACTTCCACCTCACAAAAAATGCAAATTCCTTCCTCTGTGTGCTAATAAAACCTAATACAGAGAACTATAGTCTGAATTTTGCATATGCTCAGAAATGATGATGCAATTAAAATTCCTGAAGAGTTATTCCTCTAGCTGTACTTCCCAGTAAAAGTCAGCCCATGTCAGATTTCAAGAACAGGCTGAAACATCTCTTTTGTATCTCTAAAGTACAACCTCATAAACAGCACAGATTACTAACCTCTGCGGAATCATACTGACCACAGCACTACTAGATTCAGCGTGAAGATGAATGTGATTAGAAATAATGCTGAATGTCATAATCTGAGAAAGAAAACAAGAAGCAATACCAGAGATTATACAACATTTACTCCTGAAACTGTACACAATCCATCTAAAGACAGTTAATCTTGTAGGAGTATTCAAAGGACTTAAGCACAGATTCTGTGTGTAAATGTAACAGCATCCTGAAGCAATATTTGAAATGTTTTTTGAAATAAAGTATATTATACTCTCTGTTAGTTCAATTATCACAATGGCATTTTGGAGATCACTTACCAAGAGAAGTTCCATAGGAAATGCAATAGGACTATATTTATAAGTTATCGTGATAGATGTATTGACTCGTAGTGCAGCCATGCCAAGCAAAAATAGCAATATGCTGGTGGCATTAGCCTTTGGGAGTGTCAGGAAGAAATGAAACAGATTCTGAAAAATAATCATCATAAAAGACGATCAGAGGCAAATACTACAAATATTTCTATATTCCAGGAGATTGATATAGGTTGCCCTGACTCCTGAACTCATCCTTTCTGCTACAGTGGTATCTTCAGTTAGAAGAAGAGAGATGCTAAGAGAAAAACAGTATTTAAAAATCTATCTTGTCTGTTGGTATCTGCAGAGAAAACGCTGCCACAAATAGCTCAGATCTAGTACCGTCATTCTTCTCTTTTCTACGCTACCTTTTTCTCAAGTTGTCTGATTGACATTACTAAAGTAAATTAGGATGAATTAGCTTTAACTTGTCTTTAGCTTGGAGTCTGCTCCTTCTTTGTCAGATATGATAAAGATACTGTGTGCCCAATAGCTTGCCCATGATGATCTACTGAAGAAAAAAAGTACCTTTTCCTCTAACCTTTGCTCTACTACAATTATAGACAAGCTGAAAATATATTATAGTGCTACATAAGTAATTAAAAATATGCACACAGACTTTTCTTCTTGCATGTCACACAATAAGCTCCATACATTGTTCAAGACAACAGGAAGGCAAAGTAAACCACAGCTGAGCCTTACAAAAATATCCCTTAGCAACTGACTTAGATTGAAATTGCCTTCAATTTCTGAAGCTGTTCTCTTCTTTCCCCTCCATGAAGCATGCATTTCTTCAACTAATAATGAATTTACTCACATAGAAAATGCCCAGGGGGCCCTTGTGGAAGTCAAGCATGACGTCAAAGATAAAGGTAAACTGTGATATGATGACATGCAATGCTGCTGCCGTCAGGTAGGCATCAATGAGAGTCTTTGGCAGGTAGGTTGTTACAAACCCCAGGCAAAAGCAACCTAGAAGCAACTGTGTGGAAAAAACGAGAAGCGAGATGTGGTATAATTATCAATGTCTAACCCCGCCCTTCTTGTTTCCATATTTGAAGAGCAGGACTCTTCAGTGCCATACATGATGGATAATTATTTGCACACACTATATTTTCATTATGCACAATTAAGTAAGACACTGTCAAACCCAAATAGGAGCACTTTATACCAAATGTGTGCAGTTATGCAGGACTACCTAAGGGTCAACATATTGCAGAACTGGTCAACATAAAAGATAGTAATTTACTTCACACATATTAATCACGGACACATGAATCTTAACCTATCATATCTTTTTCAGACAGCATGAGAGGAAGAGACAGACCTTCATGTCCCACTTTGCACAACACGTGTATTCAAATGTGCCAAGCTTAGTATTTGTGGTAAGAATATGCAAGCAGTACCAATTCTTACATCTGTATGAAGAATGCATGTAAGGATATGTCATTAAGGGTATAAAACAGATTCATCTTCTACCTGAATGATGCCAGTCAAAAATGTTATTGATGCGGTAAGTGTCAAGGCCTCCATGTAATCTTTCATAAATGTAGGGTCTGAGAAGTTGTCCAGTGAACCATTAGAGGATAATGTTTGGTTGAAATTAACAGTCTTCAGAATGTTTGTCACCATCATATTTAGGATGCTGAATGAACCTGGAACCAACAGAATAGAGAACAGAAAATGGAACTGCGTGAGATGTTGCAACAAAGAATATCTTAAAACCACACATCCATCTCTTCCCTCCGCCATCAGTCTGTGCAGTATGAGACAGTCTATTTTCATTCATATATATAATCCACATATATAATAATTTTTTATAGCTTCTGAGTAAGTACCTAAAATTTCCAAAGTCCTGTCTGAAAATTTCAGTTTCCTACCATTTTACAAGTGAAGTCTTCAGCTGGTCAGATGCACAACAAAAAGATTTTAATGTAAAGCACAAAAAATGGATGCATTGCAATAAGCTGCCAGAAAGGCTGAAAAACATAGTCAGAGAAAGAACTGCCAATTTACCTAAGAGGCCAGAGCTCCACATACCCACTCATTATGATAATGTGAAGGGCCTTTGCACATGTAAACAGCATTTTAATAATCTAGCTTTTGAACAAATTAAGAATGTAAACCCATCAACAGTTCAGTCATGGCAAGAAACTGCATGTAGAAGACCATGAAGAAGATCAGGAGCCAAGTCATGATTCACAGTAACATCCTGGGGGTAAATGTGAAGCAGCTTGCACTGGTCCTTTACTTTACGTAGGAGACGCCTCCATGACTCCATGAGTCTCCTTTGCACTGGTGTCTGTGATAGCTCATGTCCTCAGGCATACAAATGACTTCGCAGCTGAAACTTGACTGACTTGGTGAAATTCTCACCACAGATCAGCTGCAGAAGTGGAACAACAATGAACTGAGAATCTGGGGGTCTGGATTCTCACCTAAATAACATCTGTGTATTAGACGAAACAGAATAGGACATCTTGCCAGTTTTTTGAAGCAGCATTGAATATAATCTCTAAGTCCTGTAGAAACATTTCACAGTACAAAATAAACCTCACCAACTGAGATATGATGAGAAGTCCCAAATATAACATATGTCATCGAGCAGCAGAACGCAGAAAGGAAGCCATTGATATTTGGCAGAGGTAACCTGGTCAGCCAAACTCCCAAGAGACCTGAAAAGCAAAAATCTGTTTCTAAAGTCAAGTAAATTGGGAAGGCTCTCTGTCTTTGGTTACTATTTTAAAGTAAAAGTTTGGTGATAAAAACCTGCCAACCCTTATGAAAATCCCATTTTATATATTCACAGAATCACCACACATAGGCAGCATGAGCGCTGGTCTTGCTTACATTACCTGCCACTTTCCAGTTTGGGCCTAAATATGCCAAATCAGTGAGCAAGATGGGCATTCAACTCCCACAGTCTGGTTTTTTTTTAGGGAATTCAGGACCTGATAAAGCCAGGCCAGTTGGTGACAAAAGCCGATGTTGTTTTATGACATGGGCCCTTGCTAACTATAAATTAGACAAAGAACCAGAACAACTCTTTGTTTAGGCCACCTACTAGTGGGGTGGCTATGCATGTGGGTATCTAACAGACCTGATTTTGCAAGGTGGATTTAAAAGACCATATTATTTTGTTTGCAATATAGGAAAATGCTGCTGTTAAATCTATATTTTGAGTTAGTTTGAGGGAAACTTTATGAAAAAAGTAGTGTCCTGTCCTTGAAATTACACCATGTAACATCTGATTATAGAAAATAAGTTGTCCTGCAAATATGCAAATAAATAGGTTAATGATTTAAGGAACTTCCAAGGTTAAAGTTCCTGCATAACCTGATGACATTAGAAAGAACAGAAACACACACAGGAGATGGATAGATTAGGAAAAGCATGATATACAAAAGGAAGCTAGAGTGTTTTTTTCTCTCTGCCTACCTTGAGGAATCTGAAACATCCCAACACTTAGGCCTGCATGTAGATCCCTCAAGATCCATTCTCTGAACCGATATGAAAACAGCCAGTTCAGGATAGGGAACATCTTGAGTGTGATCTTTCTGAACCTTCCCCAGGAGAAGCTGAAAAGAATCAGATAAGCTAAGCTATATGCAATGGCTTTTACAATCTCCATCTCTGCAGCACTTTTGCATGGTCTCATGCTCTGCAGGCACAGAAGCCACACTGCTACGGTTAGCTCGCTGCAGGCACCAAGTACTGTGAACCCACACAGGTGTTAGCCTTCTGCAGATCCAGCTGGCATATAACATGAATCCTACATGGGCACCCCCATGCCTCTGCATGCCATTCAGATGAATCGCAAATACTTTGTGTGCCATTTATATGATAGCCTGTCAGCGCTGGAGCCCAGAGCGCTAGATGCATCAATTACTTGACCTCATTACCACTGCAGAAAAATAGGAGATGGTATTTTGATTTCTCCTATTCTGAGCTAGAAGAAAAACAAACACTACATCTGGGGGGCAAAAATAGGCAAGCCTATCCCACCTCTCCAAAACCAGTCAAATGTTTCCTGTATTACATTATTTAATAAGGGGATGCAAGCAAGACTTGACCTACATGATTTATTTTGTGTATATGTTTTTGAATCAGAATCTCCAGTAGGTAAACTCTGACTAAACACACGGCCCTGTGCTCCTTCTTCCCCTTTTTAATCCCCTGGCAATGTTGGTGATTTTCTACTTACAAACCAAATACAAGCAATGTAGTGTCTGCCCAAGGCTTCTGGCAGCCTTGAACAGTGGCTGCGGGAACTGACCCCAGTTAACATCACAGAGTTGAGTCTTGAGTCTCCTTCCATCATTTTATTGTCCAAGGTGAGTACACACTGGGCTGACAAGTGGATAAATGAAGAAAAAATGAGACAAAATGGAGAACAGAGAAAACACATGAGATGATAGGGAAGTGGAAACGAAACAGGGAAAAGAGTATGAGGAAGAAGGCAGATACAGGTCTTAGACAATGAGTTGGGGGAGGGAATAAAGAGATTTCCTTATTAAACATCAAGTGCAATGATAAAGCTTCCAATAATATTATCTATGACTTTAGAGCAAAATTCTCCCTTTGACCTCTGGGCACAACTTATTTTATTGCACCAGGTGTTTCTAGGTGGACAGACTGTTAACTCTAGATCACATGTCATAATTATATACAATTCAACCCTTTCCATCAAGTGATTTTGTTTCTTCGATTCCAGAACTTCATCCAATCTCCTTCTTGCCTTTTTTTTTTTTTTAAATATATAAAAAGACAGCGCTGGGACAGAAGGCTATTGCACAATTTAAGGATCTTACTACTTGATGACAAGCCTTCATGGTGAATGAAAACTAGAAAACACAATAGCAACTCAAACTATGGCTCCATTTGCCTTCACTTATCACCAGGAAATTACTTTACAGCAGGATAAGTTAGATGTGACCCATAGTTTTAGGCTGCAGTCCCACACATAGCTGAGCTGATGTTAAGAGCTAGTTATACAGAGAGAGGTCTGGCTTCCCTACTTTCCTTTCCCTGTGTGGTCCTGTCCCTTCTGGCAGCAGCAAGCTGTTAGATTAGCTCACCACACCTTGTGGAACCTCACCCATAGCTAGACTTGAGTCTCAAGTCCTGCCGTGGTCTCAAAACAACAGTTTAAGTTTCAGTATACATTCACTATACATGCTGAAACAAAGCCCAGATAAATGGTGAATCAGAGACTTTGTATTTACTTTCTTAGTGGGACTTTGTAGAGTAGACACAGCCATAACCATTGACAGTCCACCCTGGATCCAAAAAGAGATTCAGAAAGAAAACTGAGATATTCATAGTCAAACAAAACTAAAAGGCAAGCTGATGAATGGACTTCCTATTTTTTATTATATTTGCCTAGCTGGAAGAACATCAGGAATTCTCCTATGCTGCCAACAAAGACTGCCTTCTGGTGAGCCTGCAGCCTGCAAAGCTCCTCTGGCAGAAGAGATGCTTCTACTCCCAGTATAATGCCCAAAAGAGAATTTTGGCAGGCAGGAAAACGAGGCTGTGGAAGCATTAATGCTTTATCAGTACCCTAGCCTCACCAATTCTTCCCAAAGAACACAGGAACATAGATCCAAAATAACACCAAAGCAGATCAGTCAATCTCAGTCATACCATTATGCAACTTTCCATGTGCCCAGCTAAGAGGGAACAGAAAAAGCCTCCTGAAATTTAAGAAATAAAAGTATCAAAAGGCACAAATCAGAAAAAAGCAAATGAAAGCCTGTGTCTGACAGCTGGGCTGAGGGAAACACTGGAGGGAACTACAACTATTGGCAGTTTCTCTTTACAGTGCATATATCCCTCACACTATCATAGTCTTGAAGTGAACAGACACTTTTGCAGATTGCAAATAGCAACTTCGGTAGTGCAGCACTAAACTGATCTTGCACGCTTCAGGTGCCAAGTTGCTGTAAGTGGGTGTTCTGCTTTGGTCATCAACCAGTGCAGTTCAGCATTTTAATTACCAGCTGTGGAAAAGTTAGCACCCTTTTTACACTTGGGCTTGAAGAGTGTCCTTAAGTTTCTTTATACCTGATAAATTCCTGGCATAGAACTCACCTGCACTGTAGCCGTCTGTTCTCCCGAGGCATCTGTAGTGCTCCACCCAAGGTGGAGGACAGTTTTCTTTCAAAGTATGCCTGGAAGTGCTCCTCAGTCTGCACTTCTCTTTGGACCCTGTGAGCTGCTGGTTGCCTGTAAGTACCAACAGTATCCTTCTCAAGTGCCATGTTTTCCTTCTGACCACACTCAGTCAAAAACAGAGGAACAGCAAATGCTGGAGACCATAATGAACGCTCTCTTTCTTGGTAGTGAGACTGGAAGAAAGAAACAGGGTCACTGACTAAAGTATCTACTAAAACCAAATCAAAAAGCATGATACGTGATCAGTCTATCCCAACATCATTCCTGTGAAGCCAGTAGTTACAGCAGGGTTAAGCAAGGCTCTGGAGAATTAAATTCATGAAAGATATGCTGCTCTTGGGATCAAAGAAATCAATTGCCAAATCAGTTGTAGGAACACTGTGTCCTGGAACTTGTCTTGTTCCTACTCAGTAGGAAAGACCAGCCTGGAACCCCTCCATTTTGTGATCCCAAATGCAGGCCTGTGTTTAGGGAACTAAATACAGTCCCTCTCCATAAACCTACCACAGCTGAGGAAACAGTTTGAATTCTCCTTGTTTCCTATCCTGGAGGAAAAAAGCTTAGTCTGAATCACACAGAGAGCAGCTAAATATGGGGCTGTACAAATGCCACAACTTGCTGTATAAAATTGGTATCTGATACCATTCAGGTTTTTAAATCCCCAAAATGTCTGACTCGCATTCCTCACTATTTTATTATCAGGAAGGGGATCTGAATTCAATCACTATCACTCAGAGTAGGTAAGATGTGAGTTCCCAGAGTGAATACTGAGTAAGTAAAGCTCCAGTGCAAGAACAGATCTAAGACAAGTTCTCATACTGACAGCTGAGGCAGAAAAAAAAATTCAAATCCAGAGTTACCAAGTGAAAGTACACTTAAGAAGGGTGGTGACATGTAGGAACATATTTTTGTGCTACGGGCAGAACAAAGAAAGAAAAGAGGAAGTATAAAATGGCCGGGAGTGAGCAGTTGAGAGTGTATTTAGAATGCAATCCAAGTTTAAAGTATCAAAACCTGCAAAAAAATTCATTGGGATTTAAGTTTTCTCCTCATATTTCCTTTCCTGAACCACCACGATCAGTTTGTACAGGTCTAGTGCTTTGCATGACTGAGATCTGCTACTTCTGATACAGCAACAGGGACTCCAGCACAGTATTTACTGTCTTGTGAGACATATCTACCAACATGTACACATGCCCCAGTCCTTCTGAACCACAGAGAGAGATAATAGTAGGCAAGTTTCAAACACACTCGATCCCTAGGGCACAGTTTTTTCTTCTTTTTACAGAGGAGATAAATCAAGGTCTTCCACAGATGAGTTTAAGAGCCATTTTGTTCATTAGCTTTTCATACCCAGTGCAAGCTTTTGAAGTCTTAGCTGTTTCTAACATCTTTGAGCACAATCACCTCTTTTCAAGGCAAAGTAATACAACAAGCAAAACTAGCAAGAAGTTAGAGTTTGCAAATCAAAGGCATTAAAAACCCCAGCATGCTAAAAAGTAGTTACTTTTTAGATGCAAGCAGTGGTAACCTTCAGCTGTTCACCCGTGTTATTTGGACTTCAGTGATGACTCACAGCAGCAGAGGACAGGGTCCCACTCTGTTACGCTGTGTAGAGAAAGAGAAGGGTTTTGATGTGGGAGGCCAAATGTTTTAAAAGCAGGCTTCCATATCCCATTCCAGATGTGCCTGTCTTGGATAGTACTGCTAACAAGACTCATCTTCCTCAAACTTGAGATCAAAAGCTAAGTGGCCTTAAACACAAATCCCTAATGTTATTTGCTGTGACATTCTGTACTTACTACCTGGTGAAGACACCATGGGCTTTACTCCCAAAACATGCTTAACCTGCAGCACTTAATGACTTCACTGAGTCTTAGGCATGTACTTGAAAGCAAGCACATACATATCTTTGATATTGCAAGGCCTGTTGCAGTATTGAGAAATAATTTATTCTCCAAACACACAGAGAAAGATCAGGACAGTGGGAAATCTGGACAGGGAGAGCTTAGCTCTCCCCATCGCTCCTGGCTTGAAGCCCCTGGAAGGGAACAAAGTGTGAACACCAGTGACCCTGACAGGTTACCCTGCAGAAGTGCTGCCTTAGGTTAAGTTTTTTTTCATCTATTTTCCTTTTCTTTTTCACCTAAAGCACACCCTATGGGAGGCTCCGCAGGAAAGCCAAGCAGGGTTCACGAAAAGGCGAAAAAAGGGCAGCAATTCCCGAATTTTGGCTTATTTGCGCCGGAGAAGGTTCATATCGGGACCCTCCAAGCAGTCCAATACCCCACAAGGCGCTGCCTCACGCTTCGCTCCCCGGAGGCGCCTCCCCGCGGGGCAGCTCTCGCGAGAGGTGGCCGCGCTGGTTCCATATTGGGTCATCTCTGCCTTCGGCGCCTCAGCTCTCGCGAGAGCGATCGTGACGAACGATTGGGCTCCGCCGTCGCGGCGGCCGGGCCGGGGCGGGGGGGGGAGGCCAGTGTGTGTGAGGGCGGGGGGTTCGGTCTGTGCCGCTTGGGGCGGAGCAGAGGCAGCGGCTGTGGCGTCGCCTGCGCCGTCCTACCTGCGACGGGAGTGTCTCCCCACACCGCCGCCCCGCCCGCCCGTCAGCCCTCCTCCGCCCCGCTCGCTGCCGGCTGGACGACCCTCCCCCGCCGCGCCTCTCTTCACCTCGCTTCACCTCACCTCACGGGGCTATCCCGCCCTTCGCTATCCGGGGGAGGGACGGAGGGAGCCGGGAGAGAAGGGAGGGGGGGGAGGTGTGGAGGGGAGGGAGGGAGAGAAGGCGGTGACAGGGCCCCCAGCGCCCCGCTGTCAGCGCCGCCCGCCCCCTGAGGTGAGGTGAAGGCGGGAGGGGGAGCGCAACCGGCCGCGCGAGGGGGC